ATTCCTTAGAGTTTGATCTAAGTATAACCCTGAAATCGTTGAAAACCCAAAAATTATAGTGCGTAGAAACCAATTCGGCTTATAGTGAAGTTTTTAACAAATGAGCAGTCAAAACGAAAACATTCGAGTTGTTTAGTAAAATAATGAATTTAATAGCAATAAATTTTCATATGTTCGATGAAGTTGACATTTTTTGAATCATCTACTAGCTCAATGAAGAAGCAGAAATCACGAAAGTATCAATTTACAAAGCGCAACGACAACTGCCATGTGTATAAAGTTACATAAAAAGCATAGACAATGTGAGGAAAAAATAAACTTAGCATTTCCGTCCAGTTAACCAGAAAGTTTTCTTGGGTTTGATTTATGCGAGGAAAGAAAAATAACTTCCTAGACAAATGCGCAGGCAGAGAAGGAAAGTTTTTATTCTAAATGATTCATTGTATGGAAGTACACGTTTATATTATTAACCACATCGTTGATGACTGAGGCAATGCAAGTATTTATTCGAAAATACACACGTATTGTAGGAAAACTGCGCAATAAATTTTCTATATAAACTGCTTTTCAATATTCCAGAATTGCTCTATTTCACTACAATCATTTATTTTCGATGTGTTATATTCTGTTATTTTTTATGTGTTCTCTAGCAATCCATAATTTCTTCAGTATTTTCACTGTTTTCAAACTGAAATCTATTCAATGCCGCATGCAATTTCTTCGTCAATTACATAGTTTGAAGTTGATATTGTTCAGTACACGAGTTAAAAAAAATCAACAGCATTGCTCAACCGCCATGACTCACATCGAGAAAACATATGTTTGCTGAGTCAAAAGTGCAAACCGTTAAATCTGATATATGCAGGTGCTCTGTGTCTCACGAATATCTCTCATGTTGTACTTAATGTAGTAACATGAAGTCAGGAAACAATCCAATTGACATGTATAATTGTACACTTAGCTTAAATTACATGCTTCCATTTCATTCGTCTAGGTGAAAATCGCTACGGAATCGTAAAAGTGATTTAAGGAA